TCCAATAAGCAGAAGAGCTGAGCTGGTACTGTGTGTGTGTGTGTGTGTGTGTGTGTGTGCGTGTGTGCCCAATAAGCTGATGGCGAGGAGACGGGTGGTAAAGCGACGTCTCAGTCTGGGAACTTATGAGGGGGTTGTCCCACAAAGAGTCTGGGGGCTGTAAAGATCATCTAGCCTGACCACGTGGCACTAATTGACATACACATACCCCACCACATGTCATTATAACATGTTTCCACTAACCCTGACCCCCCACTCTATTCTGCTGGCACAACACTGCAGCCGGAGTCATGGGAATGAAGACTTCCATGCTGTTGTTAACTGTTAGACACCTCAGGCTTCATCATCATTGAGGCACTACGGGCATGGGAGAGAGCACTGACATATTCACCCGAAGTAATGTGCGGGGCACAGAGGGCACGGAGTCAGGGGGCAGGGATACGAGTGGGAGGTATGAGAATGGACCAAGAACTTGTAAAATCTCTTTGGTCTTTGGCATGCATGTGTCAGCACACACACATAAACACGCATTTCCTAATGTCGCTTGGGGGGCCTCCTGCTACCACTGACTCACTTAACAAAGTAATAAAAATGGGCCATTTCAAATGGCTTGGATGACTCAAAGCTGATACGAAAGAATAAAGAATGACGAAAAAAACATTGTAGAATGAAAGGGAAGGACATATAGAGCACATTTATAGCAAAAGACTGGAGTATTTTGGAAAATACTGCATGATAAGAAATCACTCAAACTTTTTGATTATAGGTCTATGTTAGAGGGGCTATGTATATCTTTTGGACTAAGAGTTAAAAAGAAGTGTCTTTAAGTTGTAGTAAAAGCATCAAACAAAGGGAGGTGTTAAGGTCGACTTACAGAGAAGATGGCAATAAGGATGCCAACACCACAAAGCACGGCATCACTAATGGTGTCGCCCTCTTTTCGGGGGAAGCGGATGGACTCGTCCGAACAGTAAAACCCGCGCTGGTACGGCTTTATGGTGCTAGTCTCAATGATCAGGAAAGGCAGGCTAGCTACAAGAGACACAAGGAAAGAGGGGAGCAAAGAGAGAGAAAGACAGGAAGGGGGAGAGAAGAAAGAAAGCATAAAAGCACCAGGTCAGTCACACAGACATAAACAGAAGAGAACAGGGGAGCACAAGGAGCACGCTGGCACCGGAGGATCATGAGATATGGCAGAAGTGGGTGGGGCTTAAGGATGTCATGTATGGTCAGCTTAGCGAAGGAGTGATGATTCCAAAGTCAGATTCAACTGACAGCATAAATTACAAACTACAGAAATGTTACATCAGCTTCAGCTTTCCTGAACTTCACTAGATCTCATAGTAGGTCCGTCACTCCTTCACAGCCACCATCATGAACCACCAGCCCTCCCTGTTTCTGCCGTCAGTGTTCCCCAATACCGAGTGCTCTTTGTGTGTGTGGGAAGGGGGGGGACTTACGGACACCGCGGGCAGTGTCAACCCAACAGAAGTGAGCACTGAGGAGGGAACGGTGCTTTTCTTGTAGGGGTAGTTCAGGCTGGAGTCACTGCAGTAAAGACCCCTCTGGTATGGACGAATAGAGGTACGGTGCAGAACCAGGCTGGGCAGCATAGCTACACACACACATGAATGGATGTATAAACCCACGCACACAAACATACATAAGGATGACCGCCAGATACACCTAATACAGGGAATCATACTGCATCATATAGCTACTTACCCGTAAGCTGAAGAAAAAATATTGCATTAAGACACACATTAACAGACAAAGAACTTCTCAGGTGTGTGTGAGGTCATGCTATCATTGATCAGGCCATTTGCTCAGCAAACCCCCTCCTGCTGCTCCTGTTGACAATGTGACACTAGGCTATTAAGAATTCTAGTTTATTCTTTAGCATTAGGAGATGCCCCCTCCTGACAAAGTAAATACACACTGACGCTCAGGGCTAGAGGTCCATTATTGGAGACAAAAGAAACCCACCAACACGTGGACTATGTCAACACATTGTAAGGACTTCAGTGTAGTGGGTGCAGGAAAAGAGAGTGCCATTCCATGTAGAGTGTCAAAATGTCTGATAAAAACATTTGTTAAAGGAAAATTTCAACATTTAGGAAAATACACTTTTGGGCTTTGTTGCTGAGAGTTCGATGAGAAGATTGATACCACTAGTGATGTAAGTTTTCACCTCTAACTCAACGCAAAAAAGCATTGATACCATTTTCTAAGAGTGTTGTCAATCCTCTCATCAAACTCGGCAGGAAAGCACTTTGTCCAACTTCCTCAACAACACACTGGACAGTTGAAAGCAGTGCTAAAAGTTGGGTTGATCCAATTAATTTTGTTGTTTGCGTCTTTAACAACACATGCACACACACACACTCATTCACACCCACATTTTATTCTGAAAATAAATACACATCTCCAAATCAAAGTACTACAAATATAGGAGTGCAAACTCTGGCTGGGTCTTTCAAAGTTTTCCTGTAGGGATTTTAAAATGTGTGAATACCAAGAAAAACAAAACGAAGCCCACCCAACTATGGAACATATTTCACGAGAGAATGTTTGGCGTGTACGTACGACCGTAGTAGCTCATAAATAGAGGGAGCTCAAGACACGAAGGCGTCCTGAAGACTCACACACCAACATATATATTCAGCATTCAACTCCACTATTCCCGCATGCGGTTCATGTGGTTAGCTCACATCACAGGGATTTCTGACAGTCCAAAATCTACTCATGAATGCTCCTAGAACCGCAGCCATTGTCCCACCAGTGATGGGAGAGGGAGATCGTGTTACTGGTCTGTCGTGAAAAATACAGCACTCACCAGTAACCACTCCTTCTTGAAGACCACCAAACACATTTTCTTATGCATTCTTGTGGACACACACTCAAGGCTCTCACAGGCTCCTTAACATCCACACTGTGACATCTACTCCCACTTGAAAGAAGAAAGTGTTGTCTCAGGTGTAAATGAATCCATGTCCACACTAATTTGACTCAATATTTTTCTGAATTTTGTCCTTTTTGCATTAATATGTATGGGGTGGTGGTGGTTTTTGACCACAAAAAATTATAATATTGAAAGCTTGAAAGCTCCAATAAACTAAGCTTTTTTAAAACATGGAAAAACTATGGAAACTTTTGAGGTTCTGAATGAACTTTAATACTCCTTCAAACCTTCAACCCAACCTGAACGAGAAGACCTTACACTAAAGTGCTTGGAAAAGAACATGCTACATTTGACAATGACAGCCAGCCGTACAACATCTGCTGACAAAGATCATGTGATATGAGAGCAGAACGGCTGCTAAATTGACTTTGGGGTGAGAATGTAAAGCAATTGCATGAATCTTCTCGTGTGAAAATAACAAAACAATACTTCAAAAACAGCTGAGAGCCCCTAAAATGGTATTAAGAGTTTGAAGCATTTTTTTTTATTGTTTCATTGTAATCTAAGCCGGCTATTTCTCTCTCCAGTGGTTGGCAGAGGGCAGCAGATGGGATGGTCACTGAGGCAGACACCTGCACAAACAGGGTGCTGCGCCAGGACTCGACAGGCTGCTGGTGGGCCCACACAGGGCTGGGCCAGACTTTGGTGGTGTCTGAGAACCACACTGTCCACACAACAGGCAGGGTTAGCTTTGGGTGAGCCTGTTCACGCCGAATTAGGGGGGCAAGGCAGGGCAGGACAGGACAACTAAAGAGTAAATTCTGGTGCAGATATGCGTTTCTCTACACGTGAGTCTTTTAGCTCAATGCCCCAGTGAACTTCAATACCTTAAACACAGCAAGAACCCCCATGCGTTAAGTCTGTGCACAAAACGATTGCTGTTGGGTAAACACTCAGCTGGGGAAAACATTTTTTTCAGAAATCTGATCATGCTTTTTCTCCTGCCAATCTCTGCTCTGTTTTTCCATTTCCTCCTCCTTCTCCTCTCCTCTTTTTCTCCGTCTCTCCACTCTGGCCTACTTGTGGAGGGGGGATTCACATGCTAATGAGCAGAAGTGAAAGGAGAGGAGGTCACAGGCTTAACAGACATGGGAAGCACACACACAGACAAACACACACGCAAACTGGTACTTAAAGGCTAAACCGATCGGTGTACACCATGGGAAACTCAGGAGTTGACCAGCTGAGACAAAAAGGAAAGTGAGAGTGAACGATTGAGCACCTCAATACTATCTGTTGAGAATTTATGAAAGCCTCTCTGTCCACACGCTTCTTAAGCTGTTTTGTGCTGCCCCCCCCCGCGCCATCTCCCTGAAAACAGCCTGGTATGTGGGCATTCTCCTCATACCAAAGTCAGACCCTGAACCTCTTGGCACAAGCTAAAGCATACCCCAGCACTAACCTAAGAGCCCATCTGAGCCCCATCTGCAAACAGCAGTGTGAAGAAATATGACCTCTTTAATGGAAATGGGATAAAGAGCGAGTGACCTTCACAGGGTCCGCTGACCCAGAGAGAAGAGGAGAGAGATGGGGGAGTGTCAGGGAGAGATAAAAACAAGAAAGGGGAGAAAAAGAAAGAGGTGGGCTGGGCTATTGGCAAAGGCCTGTGGTGCGTCAGTGAATTAAAAAACAACTATTTTACAAGCTCTGTCATGAGGTCAGTAGCATTCAGTGATGCCTGAGATTCTCAAATCACCTGTACTGCTTGCAGACAGTCCTACTTTACTTCCAAAATACTGACACAGAGGAAAGTAAATGGTCAATTTTATAGTTATATCAGCCCGTTTTCACACTTTGTTTTTATGTCTGTGCCTTGCCAGATAAGTTCTGTGCTTTTAGAGCCAATGAGCCTTATGAACTATCAAGCCACTGAGTTGCTTTTAAACAGCACAAACAGGCGCCTGAGAATAACTGGTCTGAAAACCCCTCAATGGAGAGAAAGAGACAAAAAGTATGGAGAAAAAAACACACATCCTAAGTGGGTGGTTTGGCGAGTTTGGGGAACAGTTCTATTTGTCTTATCAGATCCCGTCATGCATTTCTCTCTTTCAGTCTATGAGGAGAACGACTGCAAGCCACTAAAGACTACTTACCACAGGTCAGATAGAGAGGGAGAGAGCTATTTCTCTGGCTGGTTGAATCAGTGTTTATATGCAGAGGTCATAGCAAGGCTTTTGTGTATATGTGTGCGTATGTGCTGTACTTATTTTCCATCCATAAATCCACTCACATGTTCACGCTCCACTGCGTGTTAGAAATCACGGCACAAAAGTATGTTCGTGTGTGTTTATATATGGTATGTGTGCACATGCTTGTAAGTTTAAGTTCATATATCTACCTTGCTGTGTGTGTGTGAGTTTGTGTGTTAATACACACATTTGTGTGAGAGAGATTACACAGCCGGAGCCTGTTTCATTGGCTTAGGAGTTAAATTTGGTATAGCGAGTTAGCGCTTAGATTAGCAGTACTAACACGACTAAGTCTGTTTTTCACATTTCCTTCAGATATAAGGGACGGAAATATGTTGCTTTTAACAGTTCACTACACAGTTAGAACTTGCATTTTGATGTATTTCAACAGTCCTCATTAATATTAATTAATTGATAATTATTCCTCTGTCCTGCCGGTTAAGGATCAGCAAGGTCCTATTATTTTCGCTCGTCTTAAGACTGATTGTACTTGCCAAAAAAGGACACAATAACTATTCTTAAGGCAGCTAAAGCTCTGTATTGCTCAAAAGGTTAATTCCACCTGACATGGCACTAATTTCCCTGTAGAGCAACACCTGCGTGTCTGCTGAGACTATAGTGGTGAGCTTCTCCCACTCTCATGACTCTCTCACCCTTCTGGGTCTCTATTGACATTTTAATGGGCTTTCATGGCTTTCGGGAGCAGAATTAGAATGATATCGTTATTATAGTGAGCGAGCTGGGGTGTCAGCAGTGTGTGTGAGAGGTGAATGGGAGGCGGAGCTGAGCAAAGGAAGAGGTATTGTGGTCTGCTCTAATGGAGGATTTCCTCCTCCTGTCTCTCAAATAAACCATGTGACCCGTCCTGACAAGGAGTGGAA